AACGGATTGGAGATAGAGCTCACGGCCTTTCAGGATGCTATCAGGGACCCGCAAGAAGCCGAAGTGAGTTGTTCCTACCAATACGCCTCGAGCAGGTGTAAGTTACACGGTTAAACCGTGTAACCCCACCCTGCCGACAGAGCATAGCCATCCTCATATCCACGATGTCATCAGGAATAGTACTTCCTTGAGTCAGGACCTCTGCTCTGTTTTCGACCTGACGGAGAGCTATTCGATCAATTATTTGCTATTTTTGTTCTAAGGCGAGCGCTACTTCATTTGGTTCAGAAGTGGTTTGAGAGTGTTACAAGCTCAATCAACTGGGTCAAATTTTCCACAAAAGGAACGATTTTAGCACAGAAGTGGTTCGCGGAGCGAAGCGCTTCCCGAAGGGAAGTTTTTAAAATGGGGGCGAGCGCTACTTGATTTGGTACAAAAGTGGATTAGTATGTGACGAACTAGATAGTCCGCCTGTGTTGTTCTCCATAGACATCGGGAACACGACGCAGACCAGCGTATAAAGATACAGGTAACAGAGCAGATAACCGGTTGACGAGACTTGACGGATGACTGGGAGCAGATGTAGAGGCGATATAGGGATCAAGGGGACGGGAGCAATAGAGAGGACGAAAAGGAAGAAGAAAGAAGGGCACTGTTGATCAATAGTGATAGTTATCCCACCAGACACATGAGCAATGACTCGATCAACTATCCAATAATGACGATACTTGGAACGTTTCAGAGCGAATATCTGGCGTGCGCGAAACAATAATGGGCCGAACGCACGCCACACTCCGGGGGCCGAATCTCTACTACATACTACGGTCAAAAGGAGCGGGACAGACTTACACAATATCAATCATTTCATCATATACTAAAAGAGTCGATCGCTGCTACCATAGACCTTGTGGGTGGCATTCTCCAAGTCAGAACCCGGATCACAGAGCTCCTTAAATCATGAACTCGAACTGAATCCGAATTTAGAGAGACCGTAGGAAGGAAGCAGTCAGCCGCAGTACTGATCGGAGTCGTGGATTTGGCATCCTGCACATAGAGCTGGAGTGTGAATAAGGGACCGTCTAGCGCAAGTACCCTTCCAAACTCGAGTTTGTAGCCACCATCATCATCATATTCCACGACCGCAACGTCGAGACCAATGCGACTGCGAACTTGGCGACACTTCGCATCGAGGGCAGGATCAGGGCTCGGTGAGGCAGTGAGGGTAGGGCCTGGCTCAGCTGGCATAGGGGAAATCACGGGGTTGGGGACATCCCCAAAGGGCCAGCTTTCGGCCGAGATGTCGGGCTCATCCTCGGCACCGGAGAGCTGGTCGGGAACATCGACTTCGTCGAGCAAATCGTCGTCCACGGGAGACTCGGTTACACCTTCCTCAACCTCCCCGGCTTCTACCTTCCGACAATTGCCGAGGTGAACTCTCTCCTCCATTCCCCTACGCCCGGTGATCGTGACAATAGAGTGGTCGATACCTCGGACTATGTAGGGCCCACGCCATCTCCACAATAACTTTCTAGTCATGGGCTGCCATATATAGACATGATCACCGGGGCTTAAAGAGGGGAGTGCGGGGCGACGTAGGGTTTCCAAACGGGTCTTCTCTCGACGATCCAGCCAACCAACCTTGAACTGAGCCCATCGTTGCTTCCTGATGGCGTTCACATCCTCGTACACATCGGTGGGGACAATAGGCGGGGACGAGTCTAGACCGGGGTATAGTTTGTCACCGAGCCTTAAATCGACAGGTTCGATTTCGGGAATACGAGCCTTGCTGATGTAATGCATGTCATGAGGAGACAGACCGCCATCATTATCAGAGTCAGCGTAAGGACAAGTGTTCACCACCCGAATCGCCCGATGGAATGTCGTCGTCCAGTCTTCAAGGCCACCAGACTGCTGAGCAACAGTACGCATGTAGTTGTGGATGTCTTTGTGAGTACGCTCAGCGTGTCCCATCAGACTCGGACTATAAGATGGGAGTAGTACTAACGATATCTTGTGGACTTGACACCAGTAGCGAAAGTCGGCCGATCGGAACGTCTGGTCAGAGGCGATCAATACCGATACCCAATCAGAGCTGTCGAACATGATCTGAAGCGCATGGGTAGCATCGGCTGAGCATTTGGTGGGGGTCGTCGCGCCTCTAGTGTAACCAGTCATCAGATCCGTCACGGTGATGCCAAAGTTGTGTCTGTCCTGAGATAGATGGCCATCTCGATCCCGACATCCATACGGTCCAGTGAAATCGATCGAGCAGACTCTGCCAGGACCTAGGCCTCCAATCCATGGCATAGTGGAGCCTAGAGAGCATTTGGCAATGCGATCGAACTTGCTGAGCTGGCAAGGACGGCAATCGTCGCAGACATGCTTCACAGTCGTGCGCATCTTACGCCAAAAGTACGTCTTGCGCAAGAGCTTCAAGGTACCACGACGACCGCGGTGCGAGAACTCATGGGCAGCTTTGGCCAACGGTACTTGCAGGGCAGCGTCGGGCACGAGGATCTGGGGCAGGACATCGGTGTGGGTGTCGGCGTCGTCTGGAATTTCGAGGGCCGTGACTCTCACGACTAGGCCATCGTCGTTGACCTTGTGATACTTGTCTTCACCGTCGGAAATACGCTGCCGTATAGCACAAACTCGCCCACAAGCCTCTTGTGCTTGACGAAGAGTGTCAAGCGAGACGCCGAAGTCAATGGAATCGACCAAATTAACTTCAAGTGGGGTATCACACTTCTCCTGGGGCGCCGCCTTGAACACAAAGGTATCTGAACTCAGGAGTACGCCCTTGTGGATGATGTCAGGATCAGTTGGACGGAGTACCGTGCCTCGTGGAGGCCGCCTGGTACAGACATCACTGGGGTTACAATCACCACCGACGTGGCGGATAACAACAGAGACCCCGGAGGCGGCTAATAACGCAGACTGAGACCTAATGAGTCGTAGCCGTCGCCGTTCATACCGACCGAGCTTGTCGTCCCTGGCAGGGTCTTGGCGTAGTCGGTGTAGGTTGATCTCGGAGTCGGTATAGACAGTGTAGGACAAGGGACGGGGGCCATGTTCGCGGAATACGACGTCGATCTCGGCCAAGAGCTGCACGGCGAGGTGCAAGGAGCAGAGTTCCTTCTGGACTATGGTGTGGTTAGTCCGCTGAGCAGGCGGAAAGAGACCGTAGCGACCACAGAGCCTGGTGTAGGGCAGACAAGACCCACGGATGTCGACGCAGAAGGCCAACTGAGAAGCGTCCGCGAAGATGTTGAGGTTGGTCACGATGTCGACGAACCTAGGAACTGGCTGTTGGTCGTTGACGGTCTTTAGCCATTCATAGAGAGCCTCGGTGTCCTCAGCATTGCAGAAATCGTCCCAACCTGCTGCGCTCTGATTGATGTCGGCCAGGATAAACCGGCTAGGGGCGCTGCCCTCCATAAACAGGGCGAGCGGATCATAGTACTGATTTATCAGAGACACTGCTTGGCGTCGAGTCAGCCGGTCAGGGGTGCGGTCCGAG